CTCTCTCTCTCCCACACACACACACACACACACACACACACACACACACAATGTTAGTAGCCTTACAGGAACAAAGCAAAGCAAAAAATAATAACAGAGCTGCAATTCGAGAGAAGCTTCATTTGGTCACATTGCTGCAAAGGTAACTTTTTAAATTCCATGCTCCCTCTGTCTTCCTTCAAATAGATTTTCTGGACATCCTAATTTGGCATTTGTATAATTCGACATCTATTATTGTTTTAGGACCATGGTTATTATTTTAATTATAATTTAAAGCTGCCTGATATACCCAGAGGTCACTGGGCACCTAAAAGAAATAAATAAAAACAACTTGCCATTTTTAAAAGCAGTATGCTTATTTGGAAGTCCCATGAGCCACTCAACCGAGACATCATAAAACCTTCCAATAAACTAAAACGGAAACAAAATAAAATGTCCGTTCTTAATCTCCTTAGAAGGCAAGCAAGAGAAACGTTGCAGTTAGCTGAATGCTGGCAGAACTCTAAGGATGATTTCATTACTGAGTTCAAGAGCCGCAGTGTATACATCTCGACATTCACACTCCGTATCGCAATCTGCATAGCCCTGGCCCTAGGTTTACAATCCCTGAGCCTTGATGTGACATTTTAGTCAATGAGAGGTCAATATAGTAATGAATTTGGTGTAGAAGAAGAAAAGGGCATGCCATAAACTTCGAAATGTCCACTCATCGTCCACTTTATCCAGATGGCTTTGGATGGCTCTCCCTGGTGTAGGCATCAAAGCATAGACAGATCTCATTAGCTCTGATATTTTAAGGTGTACAAGTGTTGAACTCTCAAAGTCTAGTGACTTTGCACTTAGAAAGCTAGAGAAATTTCAATACAGTTTCATAAAGTTCCTGTATGTGAGCTTCCATAACAGAAAACAGTAAAATCATTTTCAAATCATTTACTGCTAGTATTCTCCACACAATCAAAGCTGTTATGGTTTGTTAAGCAACAGAATTATCTAGTGGGCAGGAGGCTTATGCTGAGCCAAGACCTTCTAGCTACACAAGTATGCAAATCAGTAAGTGTTATAGAATCCATTGAACAAACATACTCAGGAATCCCAGGGGAAAGCATTAATTTTCTCTATCCCCAGAATTGTCTTAACTAGTTTAGGGTGATTCTCTTTGGGAGCCAAAGAACTACACTGTCAAGTTTTGGTCACTCCCAATTCTGAGAACAATGTAGAGAATGGTGGCTTTAGAGTGGCAAGAATGGGTTCCCAGAGAAGTCCTTTCTTACTATGAAAAATAAAATAACAAAAGAGTGAAAGAATAAAAGAAAGAAATGAAAGAGAAGGTAAGAAGTTAGTTGAGCCCCAGGCTGGCAAACTCAAATGGTTACCTAGATTAAACAAAGAATATAAATAAGTGAAGTAGGCCTAGTGTAAGGCAAATAGGGAGAGGAGAAGAGTATGAAAAATATGTCTAAGGAGTAGCTACTGCTCAACTCTAGCTGATGGTTCCCAAGCCCGGAATAATCAGAGATTTCAGTGTTTAAGAGAAACTATTAGATGGAGTTGGCAGGTGGCATGATGGTTAGGGGCGCCAGACTCCCACATGGTTGACCATGGTTCCAGTCCCAGACCTGGCAGCTTGCTTTCTCATTTTCCCTCTCTCTCTCTCCCATAGGGCTGTTCAGACAATTCAACAAATGAAGATATATAGATAGAGATAGGGAGGTATCAGAGAGAGCACTTAGAACAGCATTTGACACATAAGTATTGACTCTTACACAGCAATGATGATTGGGGAGTTAATAGCCCTTGCACCTCAGCTATCTTCTCAGTAGGGCCCAAACCCCCGATATAGCTAGATTACTCCAGGCACACTCAGAGCAAAATCTCTCAAGAGAAAAAAAAATTCATATTAAAATGTAGGTACCTCTGGACCAGCAGGTGGCATGGTGGTTAAGGTGTTGGACTTTCACATTGCTGAGCATGGTTTGAGTCCTGGACATGGTAGCTTGCTTTCTCACATTCTCTCTTGCTCTGGTGCCCTATAGCAAATTTTAGAAAATAATAATAATAAGCTCTTTGTGACTTTTCCCCCGGCCACCCTGTGGGAGAGAGGCCAGGATGGCAAATGAGATTGCCAAGGCTCAGGTCACCCGGCCTGGTGACAACACGATCTTCGGGAAGATCATCCACAAGGGAATCCCCACCAAAATCATTTTTGAGGATGACCAAAGTCTTGCTTTCCATGATATTTCCTCTCAAGCACCAACACATTTTCTGGTGATACCCAAGAAACATACGTCCCAGATTTCTGAAGCAGAAGATGATGATGAAAGTCTTCTTGGAAAAGTAATGATTGTTGGCAAGAAATGTGCTGCTGATCTGGGCCCGAAGAAGGGTTATCGAATGGTGGTGAATGAAGGTTCAGATGGGGAACAATCTGTCTATCATGGTCATCTCCATGTTCTAGCTGGTCAGCAGATGAATTGGCCTCCTGGTTAAGTATGTTTTGGGGATAATATTCCCTTCTATAGGTAACAATAAAGTTTGCAAGTTACAGTATCAGCACACTTAATTTTGCCTGTGTATGGAGAGATTGAGGAAGTAATTTGAAAACCCCATACATAATAAGACTTTGTTGCATGGTTAAATAATAATAATAATAAAATTAAATAAATAATTCTTTTTTAAAACATGCAGGAACCTCTGAGCAGGCTGAAACCTTAAGTCATCAGCTAATACCTTGTTGCAGATTACTTTGAAATCAAATCAGAACCAGATGAGACCCCAGAGAGGATGCTAGAGACAGAAAAAAATTAGAAATCAGGGGTCAAGAATTCTCAAATACCTCAAATGTCACAGACTGGGTGGTTGAAGCCATAGAAATTTTGAGGTGCATTTCATGTTGGGTAAATTCTCTTTCCAAGTCAAATGATTTATAGCAATCAAATGTATAAATAAGAAGAAGAATGATTAAAAAAAAAAAAAGAAATTCATTTTCTTGGTCTTCTGTAGGACAGAAGTCCAAGAATTTACCATGCTGGCAGAGCTGGTTTCTCCAGAAGCCTCTCATGTTGGCTTATAGAAGACCACCTTCCACCAATCTGTTCTCGTGGTCTTTTCTCTGCCCGCCCATGTTATAATCTCTTCTAATAAATACACCAGTCATTGTGGATTAGAGCTCATTCATATGGTCTCATTTTACCCTAATAACCTCTTCAAAGGCTCTGTCTCCAAATACAGTCATGTTTGGGGTATTGGGAGTTAGGACTTCAACATATGAATTGGAGGTACAGAGGACACAATTCAACCCATTGGCTACACATTAGAATCTTCATAATATAGGGGACCCCAGCCTATGCCAATGACATCAAAATCCCTGTGTGTAGAATGCAGGACTCTAGAATATCTTAATGCCTCTCAGGTGCTTCCCACGTATAGCCATGGTGAATCAGCACAAAAACAGCTCAATTTTCATTCACAGCCCCCAAACGCCTCTTTTTTGGTTCAAATTTTGCCTCCCTGAGGATCTTCATACCTGCCTTTCTCCATCTCGATCCAGCTGAACTGACCAGGAGAGGAGCACCTGCTGACAAAGATGAGGGAGAGATACAGCCAATGCTGGGCATTTGTCTTTCCTCTCCTCCTGATTGATCACTTTATACAATAATAAAACTTTTAAAAGGTTGAACCTGAACTGAGGCTGTGACTGTGACACGATTAATCAAACTCTTGAAGAATCATGTTACATTATGTGCTTCAAGCATTGATCCACTTCACTAAAAGTTGGCCTGAAATACAACCTAGACACAAGATATTGGATCCATAAGAAATGGTCGGGATGCTGTCGATTACTTTGTGTCTCTCTGTGATATGTGGTCCTGCACCAGAGCCGACCATAACACAGGGCAAATTCCAACACATCAGAAAGGACGTCAAATCTCCAACTTGCCCTAGATAGCTGAGGAGGAAAGTACAGAGAAGAGAGGGCTGATTATGGTGTCTTCCTCAAACCTGCTATCATTGAAGCTACATAATAATAATAATACTGTCTATCCATGAGCTTCCAGTCTCCTTACCTGTTCTTGAATTGATTAAAAACAATACTATGATCCCTGGCATGATAAACTGCTCCCCAATGTGCTTTCTTTGGCGTCCTCTCTACATTGAATATTTTTAAAGCATTTATATATTTCATTTCTATTATTATTATTATTATTATTATTATTATTATTATTTGAATAGAGAGAGAAAGACAGAGAGTAAAATAGAAAGCAGGCA